CACGTGTTACATATTGTTTTTGCTCTGAACAGCCTTTTCTGTCCCTGTGGGTTTTCTTCAAAACACAATGGCTGCACAAGTCCTCTTTTTTTTCTTTTTTTTTCCATCAGTGAGTATTATCCAAGGATTTATATGCGTTAATTTGTAATGGCAACGCCCCTAATTTGCAGCTCGTTAGCTCCTAGGCAAAAATCGCAAATGACAAAAAAACCGAAGTAAAGGACAATAGATTAAGGAAGCGGGGGAAGGGCATCTTCAAAACCGAGGAGGTGCATCCATTATGTTGTGCAAAAGACCTTGTGATGCCGGATAGGGCCATTGGGAGCAAAAATGTTGCACAACACGTGTGGGGACTGTCAAGGTTTGTTGACTTAAAGATTGTGGCATTTTTATACCATTTTGGTAATCTTATATATACTTTTGTGCCATTTTTTGACTGATATGTTATGCTAAAATATTGACTTCACAACCTTGATATTTTTGCATTACCTTGAAAACTTCATATATATATTTTTTGCATTCAAGTTTATAGTGTTTGGCGTTCAGAACAAAATATTTTATGGGTAGATTTTGTGCTTTAATCTTTATATTGTTTAACCAAATTATATGATGATTAGGTTTATCTAGTTCAACCACAAATTTGATCACTGACCCTTTGAACCATACTTCAATCAGTTTATTGGTTGATTTTATTGTATATACCTTTTTTTTTATACTTCATTTCATATACCCTGCTATACACCATCTTGGATTGAATTTGGTTTTGTTCATTAATATTAAAAAAAAATTAAACATGAGTTTATAATTTAGGAAGAATTACAATCAAGTTTTAAGAAATGGATTTAATTACTTTGAAGTCTATTGACAAATGAAGAGCAAGTAATAACAAGTTTTAGAGTGAGAAATAACAACAGGTCCAAACTGGTTACTTGTTATTGAGATTTTTTTGGTAATTAAATTTATTCTTTGGGTCCTCCTGGTAATTCTCCCCATAAGTTATTATAACTTTTTTCTCTGTAGAATTTTAATCATCAGCATGAAAAGAAAATATGTTTATAATGTCTTTTCAGGTCGATTAAAACTATTATAATCAAAGGCTTATGTCTAAACTACCACTTGCACTTCAATATCTCTTCGTATATATAATTATCGAGTTTCACCACCAAGCCACGCGCGACCGGCCAACTTGATCTTAATATTTCGTTTTGTGAGCAGATATCTATATATATATATATATATATATATATATTCACATAATTGTGAGAAGATATTACATCACATAATTATTCTTAAATTATTAATATAGCTGCCACTAGCACCTCAATTATCTCTTGGAATATATGTATATTTATTTATTCTGCATTTGTCGAAATTCATGGTCAAGGCCCATGTGAACATGCCAACTAGATCTTAATATTCGTTAATTTGTTGATCTAATTTATTAGCTTCTGGACAAAAAGCGGGTGAATATTAATATAATTATTAATTAAAATAAAATACACTAATCACCCCTATGTCAGGATAAGGCCTGATATAGTTTTAATATTATATATGTCATGTTTGATATATTACCATTTTTGGCATAATATGAAATATTATGTATTATTGTACCTTGTAGAAAATCAATTAATATCATATGGTTGGTATATAAATCATTAATAATATCATCACATGTGAACATGCCAACTTGATCTTAGGTATTCCGATTTGTTAATTAATATAATTAATCAGCCACAGGACAAAGAACAGGCAGATATATTATATCATATCACCTATATAATTGTGAGAACACATTGTATCTCCCAATTATTAATTAAGAATAATTGAAATTGAAAACGAGAAGCTGAGATGGAATCATATATATGCATGTCTCCTCTCTTCTATTGAATTATCATCTTGTACTTCTATGTCTCTACCCTTTAGACATATATGATATACCCCTTTAGATTTTTATTTCAAAACACCTCTAATTACCTTATTAAAATTAAGAAAAAGTTGTAAGTCATTAATTTTATTTGAAAATCAAAGAAATGTCTAAATTTATCAATATCTAATTTCACGATTAATTACATTCAAGAAGTTACATAAGAGTAGAAAATTTCAATTAATGAGATTTTAAATAGGGCAATCTTAAAAAATTGTAATTAACACCTCAATTGGTAACTTATAATAAGGATTGGAGGGAGTATATATCTATTATATGAAGACAGCTAAATATTATAAAAAAAATACATTCATTTTGTTTTATCAATACAATAATAATACATTTTAAAATAATTTAAATATAAATAAAAAGAGATACTGCATACACACACACACACGCACACACATGGAAATATGATGCAAAACCAGTATTTAAAGCGTAAGTTTTTCAATAAGCTTAAAAGGCCATGCCTGCAAAACCATAAATAACCCATCCAAACATATTTAAAAGCTTGCATATGTCTTGAAAATTTTTTGAAGCTATAAAAAAGTTATATATGATTTAATTATTTATTTAAATAAATATAATTTAAATTTACGATAAAATAAAAAGTTTTTCATTTATTATAATACTAACAGAAACAATCCCAAGAATTTAGTATTGCTGCGCACCAATGGTCTAATAAAAATTTATTCTTTATTTAGTAGATGGCTCTTACAGGATGAATCAAGTCATTGTCATTATGGAGCATATCCAATGCCCATTGGAAATCGATTTTGGCTAGTAACTGGCTAGAGAGCACAAAAAGAGAAAGCCACGTGATAACAATTGTCTTAGTAAATAGAAATAAGATAAAAGCAACCATCCTTTCACTAAGGAGTATTTTCTAAAATCAATAAATCACAACAACTGGCTTAAAAAAATTAAATGTTACCTTTTTTTCGCTTTTCATAGAAAAAATTAGGACAAACTCCTACTAAAATTATAACATTTCATTTGGACATCACTAAAATAAACTCAATAGCTAGTATGATTCAACAAATGACACAAATCAAGGAAAAGAAAATGGCTAGTATTGCCTTCTTGAGCTATCTAGCAAAAAAGTAGCAAGAGACGTGAGTGGCTCATGAATGAAAGGGTTGAGCTTACTTGTGAATGGATGGGATGTGAAATTTAGGATTAAATTAACATGAATGAAAGGGTTGAGCTTACTTGTGAATGGATGGGATGTGAAATTTAGGATTAAATTAAGTTAATAATTTTCTAAATAATTCATAAAATTAATTTAGATATATTATATATAGTGGTGCAAAATTAAAAAGGCAAATACGTCAGAACTGTAGCCTTGTTGGCTAAAGCCTTATGAAAATAGGCACGGTAACTCCTGGTTACCTATTGGCTAAATAGACTAAATTAGGCTTAAAATAAACTAGGCTATAACCAGTTAATAGGTGTTTAGCCTCCTTCCAGACATACATAAAAGCTCCTTTGTAAGTGATACGTCCAGACAAAAGTTTGATCCCCTTGAAACCTTAAGTAATTAACGTCTATCCCTATACATCCATAAATATATATTAGTATACTTCTAATGTTAAATATAAAATTCACTTTTGTAATGCAAATTGAACTATGACGTGAATTTATATTTAGCACAGGTAATTAAATACTTAAACAATACAATACCTATAAAGTTTACTTTTGGCCGACATACACACATGATATTTTTTACTTAATATAAATATTATGAATACTATAAGTTTACATTCAGGGGGGGCGGCGAGTAGGGTGGTAGCCTCCAAAAAAATAAAAGAAAAAAATTGTGTACACAGATCTCAACTTTATGCTCTATGTCATGTTTCAAATAAGTTAAACTTTTGAGTTAATAATCCTCCGGTCCTAAATGTAAGACCCTTATACACACTAGTATAAGGGTCTTACAATTAGGACCGGAGGAGTACAATTTTTTGTTCTTCAAATTTGTCCTCATTTTAGTTTTGATCCTTCAAGTTTCAAACCATAGGTTTTGGTTCCTCAAATTCTTTTTTATTTCTAAGATTGGTTCTTATAATCTAATAAAAATCTGGACGATTTTGCCTATTGATAGATCAAAACTTATTGTTTGAAACTTGAAAGATTAAAACAAAAATATAGACAAACTTGAGGAATCAAATATTATACTGCCTCCGGTCTTAATTATAAGACTTTGTTTGTAAACTACAAATGATGTCTTATAATTAGGATTGGAGGTAGTATTAACCCTAAACTTTTATATCATTGAAGGGAATATTTTGGAAATTGGAGTAATATAATCATTATATTTCTGTTTTATTTTATTTTTCTCATCATCTTAGTTTTCTATAATAGTCAAATAGAGATTTTGAAAAGCCTAAATAGAGAAAATGTTGGGTTCGGGTATGATGAAAAATCGTGAGGATATGCGGAAGGGCCGATTCGCTGTCCCAACAGTAGTAATTAAAACTACAGTTACATATAGTAAATCACCGGATGTTGACTAATATAATAATAACATTAATGTATCCCCAAAACGTCATTAATTATGGCACCACCCTTGTCCTTAATATAAATCACTTGTAACACATTCTTGCATATCAAAGAATGCATTAAATAGGCAACATTTTCTAATTTTACTCTTATTGAATTTTCATCTCTCCCCTATCTCTTCCTTCTTTCCATCCTTCCAATAAGAATTAAATAACAGTAAAATTGAAAGCAGGCACTACCTCTTTTTCTCATTATAAGACCTTATTTGTAGATTACAAACGATGTCTTATAATTAAGACCGAAGGTAGTATTAAATATTACTACAACTTTACAAGTGACTTGCATTTATAACCAAAATTTTCTCTGACAAGTGACTTGTATTTAGGACCAGGGTGGTACTGTGAACCTTCTTATAAGTGACACGTGAATGACATGTGAATATGTGCAACTGTGTCTTCAAAAAAATACTCCTATATTTCAATGTGAATGGAGGTGTGTGTTCGTGTATATAAATGCACACAGGGCTTTGGTTTTGAATCAAGTTGAGCTTTGCTTCGGCTAATCAAAGAGCATAAGCAAAAACCTCTAGCTAGCTCTTTCTTAGCCTTGTTCTTCAGATATGGCATTGTCTTCAACTTTTCTTAACCCCCTCGCTACTTCGGTCACTCTTAATCCCCACCCTAAGGTTGCCATTGCACCAATCATTGGTTCAAACGCCTTATGTACCTTAAATTTACCATAAAGGCCTTCTTGTTCTAGTTATTGCAAGTATAGTTACCATGTGATAGTTTAATGTCTAACTGTTTCTCATTACTGTGTTTTAGATCAAAAATGCTGGAAAGAGCTTCAGAGTAAATTGCTTAATCAAAATTGAGCAGACTGTGACCAAACCGGCTGTTGTGGAATCCCCTGCGGTTCCAGCTGGTGATGGTTTGTGATGTGTTTCTTGCGTTGATACTCTGTGTGTGTGTTTTGTCTTCTATGTTAGGTAATAGTTTTTTCTCCTATTTGCAGAAAAAGTTGTGAAAGATCCAAGTATGTCCACAGTGTTGGTGAATTACCATGCTGATTGGGATCCTTTTCATGCAACCTCTACTCCAATTTACCAAACTGCCACTTTCAAAATGGTGGGAAATTATTGATCCATATGCTTGCTAAGAATTAGAAACTAGATGAGTTTAATTAGGATCTCTGTGGTAATTGTCTTCTCCACTTGTTTTGTTTTTGATGCAGAAATCTGCGACGGAATTTGGTGAATATGGCTATTCAAGAAGTGCAAATCCTACCCGAAACACTTTGGAAAAGTAAGGAGTTATGATTTTTGTTGTCTTGATTTTTGTCTGTGCCTATTTCTTCTTTCTATGCATTATTCTCTTTTACTTGTTGGCTTAATGTTCTGTATTCTCATCAGGTTATTAGCAAAGCTTGACAACGCAGAATACGCCTATTGCTTCAGCAGTGGAATGTCTGCTTTGACTGCTGTTTGTGAACTTGTTAATCCTGGTGCTTATTTCTCTTCCCATTGGAGACTATATATATATATATATATATATATTGAATTAAAGGGGCAGGCACTATTGTCATTTACTTATAAAATTCCAATGCAGGTGATGAAATCATTACTGTTCTGGATATCTATGGGGGTTCATATAACTTCATAAACAATCTAATGGCAAGGAAGGAAGGAATTAAAGTGACGTAAGAATGAATTTTTCAGCTTTTTCCCTGTGGAGTAATATTATCGTTGGATTGATTCCCAGAAGGTAATATGGTTGTAATATTCATGGACAGCAAAGTAGACACAAGTGATATAGAGAAGTTTAAGGAAGCTATGTCTGATAATGTTAAGTTGGTGTGGCTGGAGACTCCCAGTAATCCTCAGCTAAAAATATCTGATATCCGAGTAAGCTATTTTAATTTCTTTATGGGTTGGGATTTTTTTTTTTTTTGGTTTATAAATTCTTCTCTTCAGCTATATAATGGCCCATCAGTAGCTTTCCCTCTTCTCTTCTTGAATAAGTAAGAAGTATAGATCCATGCCTACTATATAACACTAAGAAAGTTCTTCCATGGACCCAACATCTATAGCCGTTAATTATGGCAGGTTTATATTGGCAAAATGTTAACCCGTCAGAACGTGGGTTGTTTCAACTCGTTTTTTGTGGAATAATATGTATGAATTATGAGTATCACTCACTACTAGTATAAAATTCTTTAAAATGTTGTTGATTTATGTCCAGAAAATGTCGGAGATAGCTCATGCACACGGAGCTATTTTATTTCTTGACAATAGCGTAATGTCCCCGGTGTTAAGTCAGCCATTGGATCTTGGAGCGGGTATTTCATCATCACACACTTTCTAAGATTATGGAGTATATATATAAATATACACACACACACACAAACGCACACTTAAGGTTTAAACACTATAATTAAGTGATACTTACTTTTTTTAAAATTTTTTGGTTTCCAGATATTGTTATGCATTCGGCTACGAAGTTCATTGCTGGAAACAGTAGTTGCCTGGCTGGTAGCCTTGCTACGAATAGGAAAGAGTAGGACAAGCTCTTTTTTTTTTTTTTTTTTTGGTTATCTTTATTTTCCATTTTTTATTCAACTAATAGTGGGAAATTTTTTTTGGTTTTTTTTTTGGCCTTTGATCATCATGGACCATCCTGTAAATTAAAGCTTGGCGGATCACATAAACTCTTATAAAAATGCGACCGGTTGTGGTTTGTCTCCCAAGGACTCTTGGATATGTTTGGAAGGAATCAAAACTATGGCCTTGCGAGTTCATGAGAAACAGGTACCTAACAAAACATTCTATTTTACTCATAGTTTCAAGTACATTATATGCACAATATAAATATGAATGATGTTTTGAGATTTGTTCGTATCTCTTTTATAGTGGCACTATTTATTTCTACCCAAAAAAAAAAAAGCAACTTAGAATTAACATATTGTATTTTGCAGAAAAATGCACAAATTATTGCCGAGTTTCTTGCCAGCCATCCAAAAATAAAGAAGATACACTATCCTGGTCTTAAAGCTGATCCTGGATATGAACTCCATAAATCTCAGGTGTGATTTAATTTACCTGTTGTAACTTAATATTAATATTTGCTAATAATATCTATGTCTCTGTGAGTGCTTGAAATGATTTTATTCATTAATGGAGTTCCTGTTTCACAGGCATCAGGGCCAGGATCTGTGCTTAGCTTTACAACAGACTCACTGCCACTCTCAAAGCAGATCGTGGAACAGACTAAATATTTTAGCATGACTGTTAGTTTTGGTAGGTATTTTGGGGAATATACTTTATATCATTTACATATATATTTATTTACTTTGAGAGTTAATCAAAATGGTGAGAAGGTAGGTATGATAGAGAATCTTGCAGCTATAATTAATGACATTTGTTAGTAAATTTATGTAGATAAAGAAATTTGGTTAAAATTAACTAATGCCTTCAAATTTTCGAAATTACCTCAAAAAAGTTTGTTACTTTGAGGACATTGTTTGATCAATGAGTTACAAGATTGTTTAGTTAGTCAGGGAATATCAAAATAAAGGACATTTAGTCAAAAAATGATTAATAATTTGATTAAGGGCTTGTTTGGGAATGATGATTGAAACCTTCGAAAACAGCTTTCAATCGTGATTTATGGTATACGAGATAAATATGTAAAAGAAGTTTTATCTCTACTTACATAAACATGCTTATGATAAACAACTCTGAACAAGCATACATTCATAGAAGATGCTAAACCTTGTATTAATTTTGATGTTGTATAGGTGGTGTGGGTTCCTCCATATGCTTGCCTTGGTATACATCCCATGGCGGTATGAGTGACAAAGAGAAAGAAGAAGCAGGTTTAACTAAAGATCTTGTGCGTGTTTCTGTGGGAATTGAGGATGTTAAAGATCTTATTAATGATCTTAACAATGCACTCTCAATTGTGCCGCTTTGAACTTCATGTGTCAGACCTACGGCTTACGTGCTTCAAATAATGAGAAGATCGAGGATGTTGATGATTATTTGGTGGTGGTTCTATTACCATGTTCTATTTCTTCTTCTTCTTTTGTTGTTTTCTATTTGCATTATTGTACTTGGCTGCAACAATTTGGAATAATAATAATAAGCTTGTTAAACATAGGCATTTTTATTATCTCACATTGGTGTCTTCTTTAATTACCTTTCTTTCTCCACCTTCTTGCTTGATTAATTTAATGCTTTTATTTACGTTTCCAGATGATGATTATATCAATGATGATGTGTTTTTGCTGTATCTTGAGATAATCATAATACATATACATGTACATACACATAAACATATATACATATATATAATGTGGGGAGATTTGGCACATGGAACAAAAATTTTAAATTTAAAAGCTTGTAAATATTATCTTTTTGTAAAAAAAAAATTGAACCTTTTTAGACTGCTTATAATAGTACCGAATGCATATTTTAGCATGGTTGTATGCACAACAGCCTAAAAGTTTTAAAATATTATTTCTTAAACAAATATTTTTAATGCTTGTTAAACCGGTTGTACAAATACCCAGTTTAAAAAGTATATTTTAAACCAGTTATATAAGGAATTGATCTAAAAAGTCTATCAATATTTATAAAAATAGCACCAATCACATTTTTCAAACGATCTCCAATGAACGGTCTTAAAAAAAATGGTTTAAAAATGTTTTTTCTAGTAGTGTAAAAGCGTCCAAATATCAAATTAGGTGTTTGATAACTAAATTAAACAATTTATATGGTATCTAATAGGTTAAAATTTGTCCAAAGAGCATTCTTTTGGTTTTTTTAACCACTATATTAGTCGATTAATATCATTTATAATAAGTTAAAAACACTTCTAGAAGCATTTGACAATTCAATAACTGATTAGTCTTTAAAATTAATCATTAATATTTTAAAAGACCATTTGCAGAGGTCATAATTAACTCTTTCATTTTAGCTACAAATATAGTGACCCATGATTCTTGAAGGAATGAATGCATGTATGAGCCGTAAATCTGTAGTGAGGGCCTACTGGGCTGGATCTGTGGCTTTCCCCAAAAAAATTGGCCTTGTGGGGTTTTCGTTTTAGTATCAATACATATTATATAAAGCATAATAATACGTTGGATTATTAATTAAGCAAAATATATTAACTAATCTCCCCTCTATTTCATCTTAATTACATAAAATTTCTTCTACTCCTCAAAAATCAAATGTCGTATAACATAAACTTCACTGCCCTCTTTTTTTTTAAAAAAAAAAAAAGATTTTATATTTTATTCATCCAATTGTTAATTCACCTTTAAATCATATGTTTTACATCAAAATACCCATCTTTAACTAAAAGTTATTTAAAATTATTTAGGTTAAAAAACTTTTATGCATATATTTAAAATTAAATGAGATTTGGATCAAGTTGAAGAGACCACAATATAATGAGCTATAATACTCAAATTGCCATTTTACTAAAGCTTTGTGGTTCGGCATTTTTTACTACCTATATCCAGCTTTAATGACTTTGGCCATTGAATTAGAACCACTTCAACTTCATAGAGATGAGGAAGACAATTTAGTTCATGGCATAATCATACTTTTCAATGTTGTTTGGCATAAAAGAAACATGTTTCATCAGGAAATTAGCAGCTCCTACCATGTTTCATCTGTTTTGTCTGAGAGCAACTCTTTTATGGATTCACCGTTCTGGACTAATGTCTTCTTCTGAAGTTCCCAACGTCATATGCATCAAGAAGCAATTTATCAGGCTTCAACAACCATCTGTTTCTTCTACTGGATCAATTGGGCAAGATCTTCAATTGCTTGTATCTTCTTTTTCAAATGCGTTCATATTCTTTAGTCATCCTCGTTTCCTTATGAACTTATTTTCTTCTTATTTTTGTCCTTATACACACTCTGTTTTGTAATATCATTTTATCTTGTATAATATATAATTGTCTTTTTATTAAAAAAAAAACCTAGTATTTCTTGCAAGAGACCCTAATTTTCTAGCCATAGTATTGGTCAGTGTCCTATTTAAAGGCCCGCTTGGTACAAGGGAAAGGAAGGAAAGGGAAGAGAAGATTTTAATGAGTTCATTTTGAAAAATTGAAGGAGTCACGTTAAAATATTTTAATTAATTATTTTACTCTTTTATATTACATCTTTTTGTTAAAATCTCATTACCCCATTTCTTCAATTTTTTAAAATGAGCTTGTTAAAATTTTTCATCTCCTCCTATTCTCTTCATTTCTCTCGTAACAAACAGACTCTAAATCTAAGCAATAGTAAATTTGTCATTATACAAATTATATATATGGATGCATATATGCTATGCTGCTCTGGCCAATTAGGAAGGCCGAATGGCTTATAGTTCATGGGGGTTTCTAACTCCAATTTCTTCATCAATTTTCTGCTTCCATGGATTCTAGAACTCTCCCATGTAATTGCTTCATTTTATTATACAATTTTTTTAACTTATGTTTCGCTTCAAATGGTATATAGAGCTAAGGTTTTATCTAGCAAAATTACCACCAATTTAAATTTAATTTATTACGAACGATCAGGAAATTTTGAAAAGCTCCCTTTTGGAAATAAATCAAGTAGGATTTGATGACTTTTTTAGGAAGGCTGATAATGCTTCAACTTTATATTGAGAGAATTATTTTAGTCAAGCCTTGTAATATTGTGCTTTACAATCTAATAATTCGAGATTTATTTTTTTTGATAAAGCTCAATTATAATTCTAGAGATAACTATATATTTAAGAAATTTGGAAATACTGAAGAGGGTGGAGGACTGTATGTAACATCCCATTTTTTTAATTTATTTATTTTATTTGTTTGGAGACTTAGTACGGGTAGTGTTATATATAAAAATTATTATAAAATAAAAAAGAAGGGAAACAATGTATTTATATGTAAAGGTTAAATAGAAAATAAGAGTCTGAAATAATTAAAGAGAGCTATGTATAAATATTTAAAGATAAATAAAAAGGGGATCAAATATTTAAAAATATATATATTTAGGAAAGAATGATTTAAATTTTAAATGTACCATATCTGATAGGATTTTGATAATAATAAGAATAATAAGTTAAGATCAGATAAGGGGATCGAGTTTAAATTTTATAAATTCTACAAATACCCAAGAACCTAGTTTCTATCTCATTGGTGGCTACCGCAACGCAAACCTAATCGCTCTGTAGGTACCTTCTTTGTCCTTCCCTTTCTTTTGTATTTCTTCTCTCATGTATTCCATCCTTTTGAGCCAAACCATCAGCAATCTTGACCGACCTTCCTTGTTCTTTCTGCAATCGACAAATCACAGGCGTTGTCTTCTCTCAAAGGTATATAAACATATATTATTTCCTCTCTCACACACTCCTTATATATATATATACACACACACACGTGAGCGCATATCCCCACCGCTCCCTCTCTTTCTTTTCTACAATCTTCCCACCTTCAATATGTGTTCGGTTATGTGTCAATCACTATATACCCGTCCAATCATCAAGTTGTAGCCATATATATATGTGTGTGTAGATAATTTAGTATTACATGAATGAAGTAAAACACTCATGGCGTGAGCTATGATCAAAAGGATGGAGTTCGGTAGAGTTTTCGGGGCTATGTATCTATTTATATGTATATAGATGAATGTTTAGAATAATTTAGTTACCTTGCCCATTTTACGTTTCAAACTCAGAATGTGAACAAATAGAATAAAACACATAACTAATGATTTTGGATTAGAGATAACTTACTCCTTTTCGGCTAGTCGTTGTTTCTTTCTCCAATACATATATGTACATATACATGATATTTTCGTCTCTCAATAATTTTATATCTCCTGTAGGAAAAATATATATAATAATAATAAAAGATTTGAGTAGATTATATACAAGATCATCTCTTGTCCTATAATTGATTTAAAAGAAGAAAGTCTATAATAGATAATTAAATAGGTATAAATTATCCACAGGTTTTACTAAATATATTTCAAAATCTATACCTATTTAGTTATGAAAATAATCATTATCAATATACAACATCAATCTAGTTTATAAGCAAAAATCTGAAGGTTTGGAAAGTTCTAAAAGAATTCAAGACCTTCATATAATTTACTATTATAGTGAACTAATTAAATTAGGAAGCAATATGAATTTAAAAGAAGATTTATATTTTCAGGGATAAATTATAAGACATTGGGATAACTTTGGAGAAACTTTGGTATAGGTCTAGGATAGACTTTTAATAGTTCTGAGCTATAGATATTAATATTATCGTATGTATGTGATTTTTGCAGCCTCTCACGAAGAGCCTTGGTTGTTGAAATTTCTATTTAACTACTTGTGGCTAGAGGATAACAGGTAATGTAGATTTCTACCTACTTTACTTGCTAGTGACTCCTATGAGTCCTTTAGGAAATATGGAATCTTTGGAGACTTGTCTTTATCGTTTTGAGAAAAGATTTGCTAGGAATCATGAAAAATTCTTCTGGAGCCAAAAACCAACCTTGTGAGATGATTTTCTTCTTTTTTTTGCAAATGACCCATAGTTGAGTCTTACTATATCATAATTAGTTTTCTTGGTTGTTTTTGATGCATGCTAGGTTATATGTCGTAATGCTACATATTGTGATCCTTGAGATCTGATCCTATGAACTACTTTACTATATGACATTGTTGTGATATTTTATGATTATAAAATATAACTGTGGAAAATAAATATGGTGGAGGATTGATGGGATATGGTGTGACATTGTGACCACATGGTAGGCCGTTATATGGTGCTCTATGGCTGGCCCATACTATAAGGGCAGTAACCCTTGGCTTGCGACACTCCAGAAGTATCCTAAGGCAGTAACCCCTTTCTGGAGGAACCCATGGCCCTTGTGTGCTCTGTCAACTTTGGCCGGTCTGCATCACACTTGTGAAAAGCTTGCGAGAGTCAGTTATGACGTGGGTAGCAATTAGCCCATGGGTTCAATCGGCAGTTATAAGGAGGTTATAAGGTGGAACTGGAAAGCTAATATATTATGATAATGTGACAATTATGATGTATTTTATTTAATTTGAATATGATGATACAATGTGATCTTAAATGATATGCTTATCTGCTTGCTATCCATATGCTGTTAGTAACTATTGATTTTGAACTGTTAGTCATACCTGGCATCTTGTAAGGGTACTAGTAGGTAAGGTGGGTAGGATTTATGTTACTGAGACTGTGGTCTCATTACATTACTTCATCAATTTCAGGTGAGAGCAGCAGGGGAGATGCAGCAGGGAAGGCACTGTAAGCGTGAGGTCACTTACACTAGTGACTGCGCTTCGATTCTAGAATTTATGTTTGGTTTACGTTTAATTGCCACCTAGGAGCCATGATGTTCTTTAGACTGTTAGTGGCTTATTTTGGACTCGTTATTACTACTAGACTGTTTTGCTTCTTTAGCTATGGATATTTTTATTGATTTCTCTAAGGGCCTTAGACCCACAGTTGAACATTACGGCAATTGCATCTGAATAAGTGGGTCATTTAGTGATGCTTTTCTTGTGATTTATTTTATATAATGTCTATGATAACCAGGTATGTGGGATATTACAATTAGGCGAAGAAGTATGATATTTTCTTTTTATAACCATGATATGTGCTTGGGTAGGGTATTTCTTTTTATATATCATGGTTATTCAGCGAACTGAAAAGAAAGTTAGAATTCTTCTTTTGTGTACCTTAGTAAACATACGCATGTGCTACTTGTATATTTAAGTATGGCATAGTTTTATGTGGGATATTACACTGTATGAAGAGATCATCAGAGCATCACATAACAAACCTCAAACCTAACCCCATCATGTGATCCTTATTCTATTATTCCCACTCCTCTCTCTCTCTCTCTCTATATTCTCTCCTCTTTAAATAGAATCATTGAGCATAGCTACATATGTCATACAAATTTTATTAACAGCCTTCTTTAATTCAGAGATGGCATTGGCCTCAACTTTTCTTGCCTCTTCTGTCACTCCCATCACTATTAATCCCCACATTAAGGTAACAACAATCATTATTTCAAACACTTTTATTATATTATATGCATTCTTGTTCAAGTTGTTGTTATTATTATTATTAGTATTATTTAAGCATAAAGTTTATTACGCACGTTTGATTTCTCCTTGTTGTGTTTTAGGGCACAAGTGCTGAAATTACGTATAATAAGAGCTTGGGATTTAATAAGTGGGCCAAACTGAAGTCAAAACAACTGATCCATGGAAAGGGGTTCGTTGTAAATTGTTTAATCCAAACAGAGAAGCTGACTAAGAGCAAACTAGCTTTGGTGGACGATGTCACTAGTGGTAATTTGTGTTGTTGATACCATGTTTGTGTGTGCGTGTGTCTCTCTATACACACCCACACACACTTTCCTCCTGTTCTTAATATAAAATGTTGTTGACTAATTTGGAGAGGGATTAATTAAGAAAGCTAAACAACTTATTTTAAAATATTTATACTTATCGTTTTTCTCTAAACTAATTTACTTGACTTATAAACTGATATATAATCTAATGATAGAGAGATCAAGGAATATGTGCTATAATTAAATCATTTATTTGGCTTCATTAATCTTTCCAGATTAGTCAACTAGGTCTTATATATTAAAAATCAGAGGTGCTTAGCATATGATTTTTGTTTATATATTACTTAGTATATGATTTTTGTTTATAGATTAATAGTTTTAGTTCCTATTTTCAGAAAAGCAGACACACGAGCCTAGTATGTCCACAATGTTAGCGAATTACCACAATGACTTTGATCCTTTTAAAGCAACCTCTACACCAATTTACCAAACTGCTACTTTTGAAATGGTGAGAATTCGATCTGTATTATATATGTTGATGAGCTCTTTAGTAATTGTGTGTTATTATTTAGTATCTCTATTATATTCCTTAATATTTTTTTTTCATATTGTACTTTTATACTTTTTCTTTATGCAGGTTTCTGCAACAGAATTTGGTCCTTATGGCTATTCTAGAAGTGGGAATCCTACCCGAGACACTTTGGAGAAGTTTGACCTTTATTCCTTGCCTTGATGAGTTTTTCTATATTTTGTTTCCCTTAATTTTTTTTCCCCATCAAATTTCACTTAGCATATTTCTTGTCCTCAGGTTACTAGCGAAGCTGGATAATGCTTACAAAGCCTTTTGCTTCAGCAGTGGAATGACTGCTTTGACTGCTGTTTGTGAACTTGTTAAACCTGGTACATTGTTTTCTCATCTTAGTTTGTTTTGTTTATTATAAATCATTGAAGCATATCTTGGCATTTATACAAATATTTAATGAGAAACTAATCTGACATTATAATGCCTAATACATATACTGAAATCCATATAATTTTATTTTCATTATATAAATATAACAAGGACAACTTGTGCGCGCATATATATACATATATGTATATATAATTCTCTCATAGTTTTCATTGGAGACTATGTATGCATGCATGCTTAAACTATCTCAAAATGAGTTTCGGTGCCCATTAGAATGATGAACAACACCCAAAACTATTCACATTTAGACCATTCAGATCTGATTTGGATGGTTTAGATTTAATTTCCTTTTTATTTTTATTTTTAATTAAAAATCAATTTTTTAAAAAATGATAGTTAAGATATAATTGTTATTTTAGATTCTATATTCGTTAAAATAATTATTTTAAAAAATAAAATAAAAAAGAAATTAAGTCTAGACCATCCAAATATGATGGATGAGCTTGCGGCGTTGAAACTAGTTCAAAGTATCTCTTTTATAGTCATATTTACTTGTAAAATTCCAATGCAGGCAATGAAATCATTTCTGTTGAAGATATCTATGGGGGTTCATATAACTTCATAAACAATCTAATGGCAAGAAAGGAAGGAATCAAAGCGAAGTAAGTATGATTTCTCAGCTATTAATTAGGATATATATTTTTTCCTTGTGGAGTAATTATGGATTATGAAAACAAATTATTGTTGGATTGATCGATTCCTAGAAGATATAAAATGTGGTTGTATTATTATTATTGCTTTGCATGGACAGGAAAGTAGACACAAGTGATATAGAGAAGTTTAAGGAAGCTATGTCTGATAAGGTTAAGTTGGTGTGGCTGGAAACTCCCAGCAATCCTCAGCTAAAAATATCTAATATCAAAGTGAGTTATTTTAATTTCTTTGTAGGTTTGAAGTGTTTTTTATTTTTTTTGTGATCCATCACTACATAATTAACCCTTACCAAGTCCTCAAATAATAATATGCATGACTTGTGTAAAAGCAATAGTGGCATTAATAATAAAAAAATCTCTTTAATTTTGTTGATTTATGTGCAGGAAATAGCGAGGATAGCTCATTTATATGGAGCTATTTTATTTCTTGACAATAGTGTAATGTCTCCTGTGTTAAGTCAGCCATTGGACCTTGGAGCAGGTATTTCATCATAACACACTTGCTAAGATTATGGAGTATATATATAAATACACACACACAAAAACAAAAACACACTTAAGATTTAATCACTAATTAAGTGATACTATTTTTTTCCTTATTTTTTTGGTTTCCAGATATTGTTATGCATTCAGCTACAAAGTTCATTGCTGGAAACAGTAGTTGCCTGGCTGGTAGCCTCGCTACGAATAGGAAAGAGTAGGACGAGCTCTTTTTCTTTGTATTTTTTTTTTGTTCTCTTTATTTTCCATTTTTTATTCAACTGATCATGTGAACCTTTTTGTTCCCTTTGATTTTCATCGATCATTTTGTAAATTAAAGCTTGGCCGATCACACAAATTCTTTTAAAAATGCAACGGGTTGCGGTTTGTCTCCGAAGGATTCTTGGATATGTTTGGAAGGAATCAAAACTATGGCCCTGCGAGTTAACGAAAAACAGGTACCTAATAAAACATTATGTGCCTCATTGTTATACTCATAGTTTCAAGTCTATATGTGCACAACGTGTCTATTTTCCTTCTAATTTATACAAGTACGATTCCTTTATTTGACAAACTGGTTTGTTTATATAGCCCCCGTACGTATACATTTATATATATATGTATATATATAATAGTTACAAAGTGAAATAAAGACAAGTTATAGAGAGACTTGTTAATTATGAATGCTACGAATGGTTTAATTTTTGTTTGTTCACAATCGTTTTCCATGCTTATCTATACTAGTTTTATTCAAAACATAATATGATTCGTTTTTCTTTTCTTTTTGATATCATTGCTTGATTATTATAAAATTATACAATGTGGTTTGCATAGACTAATGAATTTTGAATGATGTTTTGATTTGGTCCTTTATAGTGACAATATTTATTTCTACCAAAAAAAAAAGTGAGTTAAGGTCAACATATTATATTTTGCAGAAAAATGCAGAAATTATTGCTGATTTTCTTGCCAAACATCCAAAAATAAAGGAAACAAACTATCCTGGTCTTAAGAATCATCCTGGATATGATTTGCATAAATCTCAGGTATATATATGTTACTTACCTGTTGTAATTGAAAAATAATAATATTTTTGATATATGCCTGAAATGATATATATTTCACTGCAGGCATCAGGACCAGGATCTGTGATTAGCTTTAAAACAGGCTCATTACCACTCTCAAAGCAGATTGTTGAAAAGACTAAATACTTTAGCATGACAGTTAGTTTTGGTAAGTATTTTAACTTGGGCAATACACCTTATCATTTGCATATATTTCTTCACTTTGAGAGTTATTATATATATATATATCATAATTAATCAAAATCTTATAAGAAATAGGGTGTATAGAGAATATTGTTGTTATATAATGACAAATTTCATAGCTAGCATGCATGTCAACTTCTGTATGGTTTTTCGTCTGGCCTTGCGATTTTTCTAGTCGTCTAGTAAACAAGTCAAGTAAATTAGTCAATTATAGGGCACACGTGACATGATATATATATATATATATATATTTCTCTAGTTAATTTTGTTGTTGTCTATATAGGTGGTGTAGGATCCTCCATATGCTTGCCTTGGTACACATCCCATTCCAACATACCAGAAATGGAGAAACTAAGGATGGGTTTGACTAAAGATATTGTGCGTGTTTCTGTGGGAATTGAGGACGTTCAAGATCTTCTTCATGATCTTCATAGCGTACTCGCAAAACATGTGTCGCTTTGAATAATAATAATTAAGGATATTGATGATGATGATGATTTGGTGGTGCTTCTATTGTCATCATCTTCTTATTCTGTTGTTTTCTGTATATTTGCATTTGTACTTGGATGGCGGTAACAATTTGGAATATAATAATAGTATAAAAGCTTGTTAAAGATGATGTGGCCATTTTTATTCTCTCACACTTGTGTCTTCTTTACCTTTCTCTCTCTAACTTCTTTCTTGATTTTTATTATCTACTTTAGCATTTGAACACTTATATTCTATGCAATCTCCGTCAGAAAACCGAACAAGATTCCCCAGAAACAGAAAGTTCAGATTTAAAAATGTCTTCCTCAACAACAATATTTAACATGCAAGCCATGAAACAACCAATAAAACCTATATTATTCATGTATTGTTTATTCATGCTTCGCTATGGCTTCTTCTCTCTACGAAAACCAGATTTCAACTCCTCATTGATCATCTACTTGCAGAAAACGCAGCCACAGGAGGAGATATTGATGGAAATACGCTTTAATTTGATTACTTCTTCTTCTTCCTCTCTTCGTTCCTCAACTCTCTTCTGTCTCTCCAGCTCATCAAATGAAAGGAAACTAATGTGTTCTTCTTTGTGTGCTTTCGAGTTCAGCCTCTCCAACATTTTCGATGGGTTCAAAGACAAAAGGGGATCATCTATTTTCCACTGGATCATTAAATCCTTACTCTTTTCACTTGGAATCACATTCTCTCTCTTTTAAAACAGCGAACTTTTTTCCTTGCTTCTTTTGTCATTAGCAATGATTAAAGAACCGGACCGGACCGGACGGTCGGACCGGTTGAACCGTCGCCCGGACTCGTTAACGGCTCGGTTTGGACCAAAAAACCGTTCACATAGTTGAGCCGGATTGGACCGGAGTTGAGCCGTTATTAAGCCGGAAACCGGAGTTGGACCGGAAACCGGAACGGTTTTCAGAAAACCGGACGGTTTTTTTAGCCTGACTGAAAAATACTAAAAATTTTTTAAAAAATAGAAGAAAAATAAAAAAATTGATCCCCTTAAATATCCTAATATATTTTTAGACTATTTATAACCATATAGTATTATTTCATTGAAAATTTCATATATTGTGGTGTTAAAATCGTGAGTCGCTAGTCTTTTTGTTTCGATATTTGGTCTATCTTTTAAAAAAATATTTTGATTTGAATGAATTGATAATTTGTAATATCATTAAATATTTTAAACATACATAAATTTAAATATATAAGGTTTTAGTTCATTTTCAATGATTTCATTATAATTTTAGATTATTTAAATGCATTTCTAAATTATTTAATAATTTGATATTTTTTATATATACTAATTATATGTATATAATATTGTTTTAAATTAATTATTGCGTCACCGGTCTGACCAAACGGTCCGACCGATCCGACCGATTGAACCATGACCCGTTGATCTTTCCGGTTCGTCTTCCGGTCCGGCTTTTAAAACATTGGTCATTAGTGTCATTTGGCCTTTCTAATCGAAAACAGAAGGGGGGGGGGACTGATATTTTGTTTACTTATCCTCCCTTTTGTCCTTTTTCTCCTTGGTCCAAATACATATAATCAGAGGCCATTGGGTCTGGTGGAGAACATCTCAAGCTCTACAAGTTGGGCTTCGTCAGGGCCCAAATTTATTTCTGAGCTTGGGATG